AATTAAAAGAGACCAAAAAACAAAACAAAATTGTTCACGGAATGAAGTAAAGGTCCAAAAGGTCCATTCCATTTATGCCATTATACTATGCTAATCAGAAAGAGTAGAGAGTTTCCTGGACACCTCTGGTGCATCATTTTCTTCTTTTGTGGGCCTGGAAGGAAGAAAGAAATTTGAGTTTGTGATTCCACAAAAATGATGATTCCTTTTTTTTTTTCTCTCTCTTTTCTTCTTTCTTTCTTTCTTTCTTTCTTCTCTTTTTTTTTTTTTTTGAACAAATGCAATTGTTTACATTACAAAGTGGAAAGGAGGGGGTGGGGAGAGGACCTTACCACTTGAAGCCCTAACACTAGGCCATAACGTGGTAGGCAATTACTTTGAGAAGATGCTTTTGGCTTTTTTGCACTCCAAATGCGTTACTTTTATTTTCTGACTTCCTTTGAAACTAGGGGCGGAACACCTCAATTTAGACGGTGATACAAAACGGAGGGCCGGGGGATGCAAATAAAAAACGCAGAGTGAGGGTGAAAGTTTAGTTTATTTTTAATAGTTTTAGTTTGGTATTTTAATTTCTTAAACATAAAGTTTTAATAAAAATTTAATTTTTATCTAAAATTTATATTTAAAAATTTTAAAATTAAATTAAAATTATAAAAAATGACCAAAAGCAGTATTTTTTTACTGTTGTTTTATTTGTAACGCGTTAACAATCTTCAATATATATGTTTTATCGCAATGATACGCATGCCACAAATTTACAGAAATATAATTCTTTAATTTAATTACATAAACAGACTCTTATTTTTTTTTTTAACAAAAATCTACTCTGTAATTTCTTGTTTCTTTTCTTCTTCTTTTTTTTTTTTCTCGTGAATTTTCTCGAAACCAAAATCAATATCAACCCACCTCATCTCCGCCAATTCCCACATCTCCTTGTGCTCCTGTTGCATTCCCATGTTGTCGGATTCCGCCATCCGCCTCCGTATCATCAGAAGTACTGCTACTTGGTGGCACCTCCAGTGGCTGCCGACATGTTGGACAGGACGAGTGTTCGAGCAGCCATGGGTCTACGCACCGTACATGGAATCCATGGCTACATTTGGGCAATACTCTAACCTTTTCACCCTCCACAAAGTCCCCGAGACAAATTGTACATTCTGTAGCCTTCACGTTTACCCCTGAACCGTACACTGCTACTGGAATCTGACGCAATGTCCTCCTCCTGAGCCCTGTTGTCCCCAGACGCGTGGCGGTCTCATTCGGAGCCCCAAAGGCAAACCTCTGGCTGCAGCGCAGAGCACAACGTACGATGGAGTTGAGTCCCAGAGCACATATCAAGGCACAAAGCAAGGCTGCCAAGATTATTACCATGTTGGTGTCAAAACTGGCCTCGTTCGTCAAACTAGCCCGACCCCTGCTTCCATTTGCTTGCGGAGCGCTGGTGGGTGAGTCCAGGAGTAGGCGATGCGGCCGGTGGTAAAGAGTCACCATTAATGTTTTATTGTTCTGATACAATTGATGAGCACCCAGAATTTAGAGAATCGAGCTTGGTTTGTACTTTGAACCTAGAGAGAGAGTGAAGACAGATGAGGGATATATATAGATGAAATCAGAAATCTAGTTCCCTCTAAAAACTGAAGGAAGCTTGATTATACAAGAAGGGAAAGGCGGTGATTTCGTTGCTCCAAGCTCTTGCCTCGGCAAATCGAACGACAAAGGAAATTGAAAGAAGAGAATTCATCTAAGACAAAAATTGTTATCTTTTCCTGGAGTCTTGAATCTAAAAAGGCTAAAGCTTCGTTTTGCTATTGATGCATAGGAAGATCGATGGTAAACAGTAAAACATGC